TATCTAAAGTGATGGTTGATCTTTTGCAGAAGTCTTTTGTTTAAAGTTTAATGGCTTAGTTGTCAGTCGATAACTGGATACTTTATAAGTAGGAAAGGCCTATGTTACCATGCATGCAAAAGGCACCTTTTCCGGCCAACTGTGGCTTTTTGCACACAGAATATTAATGATTGTCTTTATTGATATTTCAAATATGTTCTCTTCAATCAAGAGAGAAAAAATAGAATAAAATAAAACAGAATAATTTTGTTGCTCATAAGAAGGAACAAGGAGCAGCATATTCAAGCTTAAAAGAATAATGTTTTAAGTAAGTTTTTAGTTTCAACCATATGATGCTGGGCTTTTATTTATAACTTAACTGTGTGCTAATGATGATGTTTTGTGTGTTTTCCACCATGCGTGTTTGTGTCAGTCTTGCCTTTTTTTATTCATATTTTTTTCTTTGCTTTCACGATGCTGCTGCATTCAATGCTTGTTTTTCAATCTTCTTGCGTGCAAAACATGAATGCACACCCCGATCCTTCCTTGACTGGGCTTCGTGCTTGCCAGTGAATCCCTGCTACAGTCTGCATCTCAGGGTGCGACATGGCGAAATTTACCTGTGGACACAAAAAGAGAAAAGCAAATGAGGTCCATATTTGAATAAGTTATGTGATTTAATGATGCTTACCTTCACCTAACTTTCAAATGCCCTAGGTATGAAATTCCAGGCAGTTACCATTGCTGAATTACAACATTTATTTTATTTATTTAATCAACTTCACAGAAATCAAAATTCTGAGAGGAGCCGGCAACAGGAACATAGAGTTCCTCTACTAGGCCGACTCCTCTAGAAACATAGACACAAAACAAACAAACAAACAAACAAGCAACAATTAAAAAGAGTAATCAAATCACTAAACAATTATGGCAACGACAGGTAGTGGTCCAGGTGCATAAGTTGTCGGTTGAAAATGTGTCATTTAGGCGAGATCTGTAGAACGAAATTAACAGTTTTTAACATTGCTGAATTTCTCATTAATTATGCAAATTAAATCTTAATTTACATAATATCTGCCTGTGTTTTTTCTCGTTCGCAATTACATATGCCACATGCTTTTAGTAGTCCTATCATGTAATTTAACTGAATCATGGCACAGGGGCCTGGTACCCAGGTTACATTGTTTTCCCAGCAATCATTAATCATAGAATTCGAAAGCATGGTACTTTTCAAAACTCACACAGCTTATCGTGAAAGAAGTACTATAGAGATGCGAACATTGCCTGACTA